TGAAGGCTGAAGAGGAAGTAAAAGAAGTTATGAATTTTGGAGGTGTGGCTGTCATTTCCCAGCTTCTGTGTAATTAAGAAATCTCCCATTTCCCATTTTCCCTGCTTTCCCAAGAACTTTCCAAACCCTCAGATGTTCCACATGAATTTCTGCGTCAAGACTTTATTACTTTGTTAAAGATGATACCTGCAGTCATCGTAAAGAAACCAGTCCTTCCACCAAGACAGCAGCAAAAAGACACATACAAAGAGACCGAAGTACTGTACCAGATTCTACTGAGAAAACTTAGTTACTGTGGAGCTCTCCAAATTTAGAGTCACCTTAGGTGTTTAAAAGATAATGACAACTATAACTTTCCTTTTGTGGATTTTTCACATAACTGTAGTATATTTCATCTTAATCTTGAAATTACGAGTGATAGAGAAACAGGTAAGTGAAAGTTTCTAAGTAAAACTCATGATGAAGTATAGTCCTATGTAATTCAGTTTGAGACTATGGAATACTATAAATAGTAGTCATTTTTGGTGGTATTCTTCCTAATATTCATAAAATCCAACTACTGAACTCTGAGATCTTAGTGAAAAATTGTTATATACTGAATAAAATGAGGTGCAAAATTATTGTCATTTTTAGCCTGACTTTCATGATGTTTTCATAACATATAGATCAACAGAATATGAGGCTTTGTGGATTATGAAGTTGGTTATTTGGGGCCTTGTACTAAAGAGTATAATTTTCAAACAAAAACTTTTGTGTATAGATTTTGAAGATATTGGTGGAGATAAATATTTTCTAGAAATTTGAATAATGTTCTGCATAGTGATTTTTATGGATAAAAAATCAAATTTAATATCCTTAATGGGCTTTGAAACTAAATTTAATGTTTTTGTGTATGTATGGAGTATAAAGTAAGTTCCTTATGAAAAACTGGAGAATATAGGAAAGCACAAGGAATAAATACTGTCATAAATCCATCATCCCAAAACAAGTGTTAACATTTAATATTTTTCCTCCCACTATTTTCAGAATGCTAACTACAGCAGGGTATATGTATTTTTTTCTTTTTCGATGGTTTCTATTTTTGCTATAATATAGTGTTAAGGAAGAAAAAGAATGAATGTTGTCTTTGCAACTAGCCATTAAATTTTTATTCCTTTGTGAGAGGATAGAATTTAAACATTTTTTAATTCATGAATTCTAACATGGTTATGAACTAATATTAGCTAAGACAAATTAGAAAATAGTGCAACCTTAAACACGTCATGTAGCATCTTATAGCTTAAAGTAGTCTCCTGTTAAATTCAACAAATGCTGGCTTATTATTTTTATATGGGGACATGTAAATCCAGATGAACAGTGTTTAGAGTTCATGTCTTTATGGCTAATGAATTGAAACTGAGGTAAACCTGAACCCTGAAGATTAGTGTTGTCAGAGCTACAGAGAGAAAATAAATTGCTGATATATTTAACTTTTACATTTTTAACATGAGAATTTGGGTACCCATTTTTTTTCTAATACTTTTCTGTGCTCTAACTTATTAATTTACCACCATAAGAACCAGTGCTCATCTCTGGTGTCCAAAATAGTTCTTATCCATTCTGAACTCTACAGTTACCTTCTGATCTCACCCTGCTCTGTGTTCCACCTCCTCGGTGCCCAAGAGCAGCACGATCACCTTGAGTCTCACTGTATACGTTCTTTATTATACACTGCATAGCGGTTCTTGTCTAGGAATGGAGCTGACTTTTTTATTCTTGTGTGTTTCATGAAGGAAATATTCCCAGATGATTTGGCTACTGGGGCAACCCAGATGCAGTTTTCTAAATATTCCAAACAGGTTTCTTCCTGCTGAGGGCAGTGCCTGTATATATATAAGGACTAGGAAAATGCAGTGGCTACCACCTGGTATCACTCTAAATCATTAAAATGATTATTATATAAAGTCACCATTTTTCATCTTTCCGTGCTTCAGCTCACGTCTTTTAAAAACTTACCTTCAGGATTACTGATACTAGATATTATCTGCTGTGCTGCCTATTTCGTAGGATTCCCTTTTCTCCACATCTTTGCCCACATTTGTTTTCTTTTGTCCTTTCGGTAACTGAAGCAAAGTGATATTTAGATGTGATTGTGTTGAATACATGTATGAAAAAATGCGTAACAGCACTAACCATCAAAGAAATTTCTCAATGTAAATATTTGAGTTTGCATTGTCCTGTGTTATCAGTACTCCTTTAGAGATACAGGTTTTTGAGATCAGTTCAAAATTTATAAATTGTTTATCTAATCCTTATACAAAAGTTTCCTGAGTATATATGTCTCTCACCACCTTGTGTAATCAGTTTTTAAATCTGCATATTATTACTGTGCCAGTTTCATCTTATAAGCATAAACTGGTTTCCAAAGGGCCATAGAGACTGACCTTTTCTGTTTATTTTTAAGAGGAAGCCATAATTATCATCATCTGTGTTATGTTTAAACTTAATAAATGAAACTAGAGGGTGGATGTATATTATAGATCTTGCATCATTGTAATGAGTTGATCATTAAATATGAAAAATGTGTACCAGTAGTTGCTTTTCATTTTTATTTTTTCAGTTTTAGAATATGTACTTCAGTGTTTACAATTGATGTAACATGGGTGATAATCCCTTCCCATATAAGTATATTACATTTTAAGCTTAAGTATTCTTGGCAAAAAATGATTTATTTGTATGTGATAGAACCTTATGATATTCTGCAAGTGAGAAAAACAGGTGAAGTGGAGTACTGAAATGTCATGTGAAACGCACTTGTAAGAAACAAAGCAGCCCTTTACTCTCCAGGTCTACACGTTAGAATTTCAGGGAAATTGATGGAAAAGAGCAGCATAGGCCGTTGTTCTCTTGGAGAAGACACCTGCCTGGTGGAGGCATCTTGATGGTAGTGAAACTTCAAAGATGTTTTTCTCTGTACTATTGCCAGGCCTCAGACTAAATATTCAAATTGGAGTACACAAAGTAACCAAATAACAGCCAATGTCAACAGATGAGTTAAACTGAAAGGGTGATGATATCTCTATCACAGTCAGAGCCTCCCTTGCTTTGAATTCCTTGTAATTTATGGAGTGCCGCCATGTGTTCGGCATCGGGCTAAGTGTTCCATATTCAGAGATGAAATGAAAAATGCTTTACATTATGAAAATCATCATCTGGTGGCATAGATGATCAACAGAAAAGACCATTGAAAATGCAGCATGCTAGAGGAATTCACAGCTGAGCAAACAGAGTCACCTCATCTGAACTGGATGAGCAGCTAGAAATGAGGATAGATTTCAAGAGTCAGGGATACCTGGCTTGAGCCACAAAGAGTAATTAGGGTCAGCCAAGCTGGGAAGGTGTGGAAAATCTTTTCTGGCAAAGGCATCACCGGGTATAGAAAGATTCAAGCTCAGGAAAACAGCTTGTGTGGGCAGTTTTAAGTACTTCTATGTGGCCTAAAGGATGGGGTGATTTTAAGGGAATGTCAGGAGGTTGGGAGGAAAAAAGGCTTTTTATTACCATATAAAGTGGGTCAGACTCTCTCCTGAGGTTCGAAGGTAGCCTTTAAAGGATTTAGGCAGGACAGTGATGTGACCTAATCTACCTTTTAGAATACATACTTGATTTCTTTGAAAAGGACAAAGAGGGGGCTGGGGATTTAGCTCAGCGGCAAAAGCGCCTGCCTGGCAAGCGCAAGGTCGTGAGTTCGGTTCCCGGTACCGGAGAAAAACCAAAAAAAAA